TCTCTCTCTCTCTCTCTCTCTCTCTCTCTGTGATATTTATACAAGACGTATAAATATATAAAGTTTTTACGATAATACGTAACTATATAGAATTTCTTGTGGTTTCAAATCCTCTGAAGGATAGACAGACTTTCGTCCTCAAGGTTCAGAGACGAGGCGAACGTTTACAAAAATATTATCACGTTTTTTACAGTCGCGAGTTCAAAACACGGTGTTTACAGTTTTTAAAGGATCACGTGAATAATATAAGGAGTATACTATACACGTATTCGTACGAATGAAATATCTACATGGCAATCCGTACTCCTTCTCTCATCTCCCGTCATCTTTCTAACTCTCAAAGCAGTCTTCTTACTTGAAACGAACTCTAAGGATGTCTGTTCCGAAGGATAAATCGCGCTGCATTGTTATCATTGATCTGCGAATGCACACAATTGCATTCCATCGAACAATCACGCGCTAGTCGCATCAAAGTCGAGCCGTTCCGCTCGAGGAAAAGTATTAAGTAAGTTGTATCTTAAGGCTCAGGATTTTCGCAGATTAATTATATACTTACAATTTTATTCACAGCGAAATTTATGTATTGCACTCGATCTCCGACACGTCCGCATACAAATATATTAACGCGCGAACTGTCTTTTAATTTAAGCCATCGAAATTTATATTCGGAGGAATCGACCGACGTTTCGTTCGCAAATTGGATGATTTGACCTTCGAAATTGCAAAGAACGACGTTGCGACGAATGTGGAGATAGCCTTCTTGCCCCTGGATTTCTTCAAAGCCAAGTTTCCTTTCACAGTCTGATTACTGTTACGTTACGTTCTCCCGTTTGCTTCGTCTCATCACCGTGATGCCAATGGAACCCCGTATCTTGCGCAAAAGATCGATTATGTCGGCTGTTGTCATGTGCTTCACGCTTTCGTCATTTACCTGCAACAGAACAGGAATAATGAATAATGAACAATGCACGGGGAATAACGTATAAATAAAACGCTTTGTGTAATTGTGCAACAGCCAGTGGAGCAGTTAGTATTGCCCAATAAGTGTAATTATGTGTGTTTTAAATTAAGAGACTGTCACTTGACGATCGTTCCACGGGAATTATGTAATTCACTTCGATCATTTGAATTGAAGATACAAGACAGCGTGATAAATGATTTAGATCCCCTCCGATTCTTATTCTATTCAATTCTATTCTCTCGTTAGTTTTATATTTACGTTCAGTGGAAGGAAGGAAGGCATCGAGATAGGAAACGAAAAACGTTAATTAGCGGCAAACATTACCATCATAAGCACATCTCCTTGCTTCAGTCTCCCGTCTTTAGCTGCAACGCTGTCAGGATGCACCACTGATATAACTGTGCGATTTCCTTCCGGCTGCAAGCTGAATCCCAATCGGCTATTCCAACCACGTGTCAGCTCTACCATGAACACCTTCGAGAACAATAATTAACGTTGCGATGAAAATATAACGTTTCTCACTCGCTTGCAACGCGATGGGGAATTTCAATGTACAAACGAAAGTTCGAGCAACGACTCGGAGTCGCAGCAACGATGAGGATGTTTTAAAGAAATTTTTCACATAAGCACAAAATTTTGGGACTACTAATTAAAAAATTCGACAGCGAACTTTACTCAAACAATTCTATAATATTACGAATCTATATTTATAAGTATTTTTATATTAAAGTTTATATATAATAGTATATTAAATCAACTAAAACAGTAAAAATAAAAACGAAAAAACTCATATATAATTTTTACAAGTATTTTTATATTAAAGTTTATAATTATTTATTTTATTAAAATAATATTTTATATATAATATAATTAATTTTATTTATAAGTATTTTTATATTAAAATTTATATATAATAGTATATTAAATCAACTAAAACAGTAAAAGTAAAAACGAAAAAACTCACATATAATTTTTATAAGTATTTTTATGTTAAAGTTTATATATAATATAATTATTTATTTTATTAAAATAATATTTATTTTATATTTATTTTATATATAATATAATTATTTTATTTTATTTATAAGTATTTTTATATTAAAGTTTATCAACTAAAACGGTAAAAGTAAAAACGAAAAAACTCATATATAATTTTTTTTTTCTTTTTAACTACCGAACAAATGAATTCGGTATTAATTTTCCCCTTCCTTACAACTTCTTCGCTCAGTGATAATAATGTATAATTTACTACCAAATAAGTAAGTAGATTTAGTGTTAATTAGGAACGAAAACTCTACCTCAGTTCCTTGTTCAAGATCAAGTTTGGTGGGGGCAGCTGAATCTGTGGTGTCTTTCCCGGGCCTCTCTTCGTTCTCGGTTTTATCTATTCCATCATCTGGAGCGAACATCACGCCTTTCCACTTCAGCAAGCCCTTGCTGCCGCCGGGATCTTCCGCTCCTAAGATTTTCCCTGTACTCCACATAAAATCAAATCACAACGTGTGACATAGAGTTTGCATTGCAGAGGATGCGTTTCGATTTTAAGGCCAGATTTCTCTAACTGTGTGCGAGTTACT